CCGCTGCTTATAAAAAAGATCCAATACCTGCAAAGATACGAGAGATTATGGACAAGCACGACCGCCAGCTCCCGACGGAGCTGGCTCGACTCAAGATCCCCATCAACGAGATGGTAGAAAGAGATGGAAGACTGTTTGTGAAAGATCGAATGTTTGTGCCGGACGATGATGAACTACGCCTCCGTCTTCTACGATCATGCCACGACAATGCCGCCGCGGGGCATCCAGGAAGAGCCAAAACCCACGAACTACTTTCACGAAATTACTACTGGCCCAAGATGGGCCAAGCCGTTAAACGATATGTACGCAATTGCCACACCTGCTCGCGATCCAAAGCGTCACGGCTGCCATACCAGGGGCTTTTGCAACCTCTGGGTACGCCGAATGGCAGGTGGGAAGACATAGCAGTCGACTTCATTGTCGAGCTACCAAGAAGTAAAAACGAAACGACAGGCCAGTTCTGCAAGAACATCATGGTCGTGACCGACCGACTTTCGAAACAACGACACTTCATTGCATGTGGATCTACGAATGCAAAGCACACGGCACAGTTGTTCTTGCACCATGTATGGAAGCACCACGGACTACCAACGACGATTGTATCAGATAGAGGGACACAGTTCACCTCCCGCCTTTGGCAGCGGCTTTGCCAGCGATTAGGAATCTCGACTAGGCTCTCGACAGCCTACCACCCAGAATCAGACGGTCAATCGGAAAACTCCAATCAGGGGCTAGAGCAGTACCTCCGGGCTTACGTCAACTATTCGCAGGACGATTGGGTCAACTGGTTACCTCTTGCAGAATTTGCGATCAATAATCATCAGTCAGCGACAACAGGAGTGACACCTTTCTACGCCGTATACGGACAACATCCCCGAATGGGACATGAGCCGCCCCAAGGAACACGAAAACTACCCGCGAAGCAACAGATAGATATCAGCACCGCGGACGCCTTCGCCAACGAAATGGCAAGATTGACAGAAATACTACGTTTGGAGATGACCATGGCCCAAGCGCAACACGCCGAGTACGCAAATGAGAACCGAATGCCAGCACCACACTATCGTGAGGGAGACGAAGTGTGGCTCGAGACAAAGAATTTGAGTATAGAAAGACCAGCCAGGAAACTCTCGGAGAAGTTCATTGGACCGTTTCGAATTGCAGAAGTCATGGGCCCAGTCACGTACCGTTTGGAGCTTCCCCCAGCGATGAGAATTCACGACGTGTTCCACACGAGCTTGCTCCGCCCAGCAGCTTCGGATCCCCTCCCTAGCCAGAACGAATCTACTCAACCCCGAATCAGATTGAATAAAGATAACACCGAGAGAAGAGAGTGGATGATTGAAAAGATACTGGATTCACGCATCACCAAGAATCGACATGGAAAGAGAAGACTGGAGTACTACGTGAGATGGAAAGGCTACTCTCCTTCGTGGCGACCCCAACAGGACCTGGTCCCAGGGAGTGGCGAACTTTTGTACGAGTTCCACAACCAGAACCCAGATCGACCTTCGCCTACTGAGCTATGGCGTCGCAGGAGCTCCTAGTTGTTTAGGAGGGGGGTAATGTCAGGGATCTACCTGAAGTATACAGGATGTTTGGAGAAATGATCTGCGGGACCCACATGGTGCATATGGGTTCCCCTGAACGCGAGGAAGCCCGTTCCTTTTGCTTCCTCGCGCTACGTCTTGTATCTAGAGTCGACTATAGCTTTCTTTAATATTGATCACTCATCTACGGATACGTGAGACCCTCACAGCTATACCGAGTGGACGATCTCATTTCGGTGATGACCCTAGCAGTGCATGAACATTTTTAGAGACGTGATTTGAAAAGGCATTTTACTCGAGTACACGAGAAATTATGATCGTCATTCGTTTTGACACAAGTACTAGCAGCCTAATTTGGACTAGCGGTTTTCTGAATGCTGTTCAGCGTCTCGCTAGCTCTTGGCTAAAATCCTAATTTAGCAAAATACGTTGTCGCCCGAGTAACTTTCCCATATACCAGGTTAGAGGGAGTCTCTCTGCTTTAGCCCTTTCCCACCTTTCAGATTTCTGCGTAAGTCATCTTGGATCATCTTGTCCCTGTAGAGTTAGTTCCCCCGCACGACCCACGCGCATTCGGAAGCGTAAACTCAGTCCCCATCTACGTATGTGTACGTGAGACTCTCACACGCCCAAAGGAACACCAGTCAGTCCTCAAGTACGCCGACTCTGACTCTCTACCTTGGACCCCAAGAAGATTGACGATTCGAAGATCAACGCCTCTAGCATCTATACTGTCGGCTTCTGGGAACTAAACGTCCTCCAAACACTGTACCCACCACCCCTGAGAGCGAGCCAGATCATTCCTGGCCTCTCTTACCTTTGATTCTGGAGATAGACTGGTGATCCTGGGAATAGACTGGTGATCCCGAAGACAGAATAGGTGTTCCTGGGGGTAGACTGGTGCTCCCGGGGATAGACTGGTGCTCCCGGGGATAGACTGGTGCTCCCGGGGATAGACTGGTGCTCCTGGGGATAGAGTGGTGATCCTAGGGGTAGACTGTCTCGCGCCCACGAACCGCCGCAACAGGTCCTAGAGGTCATGAGCATGACCCTAGGAGCGATGCTAGCTGAGTTCAACGCATTTGAGCGCCGCGGCGTAGAAGAAGTGAGAGGCCGCTCATTTCCGATAGCTTTCGATGCCGATTCAACGTGTTTCACCACTTGCAGTAGTAGAGCGAGGAAATGGATACTCTTCATAAAGTGTTATTGCGGACATGGGGTGGGTTGGTTGATTCTGAACGTGTGCTGACCATTGCACAGGACGAACTCGATCAACGTTGAGTAAACAGAAACTCAGTAGTTGGAGGCGGTTATTTTTCACGGTCCTTATTCTTTATGTGTAATTAAAGGAAGCTCTTGGTGAGTATTTAAATCGTTCGAAGAAATCTTATGTCGCATTTTGTCTACAGTAATAAATCTAGTTGATAACGCAAAAAAGAGAGGATGGTGTTTTTCTTACATGTTATTGGTTTATTTGGCTCCACTTGTTTTGATGTCTGTGCATCCCAACCCCCAAGATCGCATTTCCTTAATTCCCTGACAAACAATATTCAGCCATTCGGCGGACAACTGACCATCATGGACTAGCTGGGGAATGGTGAGAACATGATGGCAAAATGTTTAAGAGCAGATCTACGGTTGGTGATTAAACGATGAGTTGGCTCAGAAATCCGATTATGGAAGTTTTATCAAATCTTTACCTCACGAATTTGAGCTATATTAATTGTGGAATTAATTAACACAAAAAGTTTTATTTTTTCGCACCTGCAGCTGACCGATTCTTCCAATGTTGAAAAATCGGTTAGGTATGACTATACCTCAGCTTGTTGCGTTACTATGATATCGTTGACCGGCTCCTTAACCTTTGGAGAAGAAACCAACCGCTTTTCGGTGCGACAGGCATCAATATGGCCGTGGCAATAAACTCACCAGGGACAGTTTCAGGTCCTTGAGGGCCATGTATCTGAAGACCATTGTTTCTGGAGAGCGACACAGGTTTTCAACGCCTTAACACAGTACATAGTCACTGAAGCTTTTCAGGATCCCTGAGATCTACTTAATATATATCTGCAGCTATCTAGTTCCCTGCTCTCCTCGGCCATTCCCAATAGTGACACTTTGAGGCATCTCTGAACATGCCTCCCATGCGTCCCACCCAGTCCAATCCATCCTACTCTGTCAAAAAGTCCCTTCGCCAAAAACAAGGCCGTCGCAAATCAAGCCTAATGAAAAAAGCGTCCGAATATAGCAAGATGTGCGATGCAGATGTGTGTGTGGGCATACGCCTTCGGGAAACCGGCCAAGTATATATCTTATCAGCGGATGCCTCGGGATTTTGGGCTTTTCTTGGCTCGCAGTTAGTATGTCTCCAATCATGCCTCTAAAGAAAAGACGACTGACCTATCAAGAGCTCCTACTATCCAGCCCCAAAGCTAGTGACAGACCAGGATCTGGAGCAGTTCGATAAAGATACACCAGAACAACATACATGAAGTTGTACGACCAAAGCGGAATTTTCAACAGACCAGACCTTCGCAACTATTGATTTGTTTGCCGTAGGTCTACGACTTGAAGCAGCCATTACATAAGCCAATAGATTAGAATTGACTGAGGCCCTGAGAGTAGAGCAGGAGGACTTGCGGTTCCAAAGAGTATTCTCCATACTCAAGAGTTCGCGGTAGATTCTTAATTCATTCACGATATAAGGGGAAATTAGATAGCCCATATCGTCAGCTTATCTTTTTTAAAAGGCGACCTATAAAGTTATGAAAAGGCCTGTACATTGATTAACGAGACGCTTCCGTGCAGGTCGGAGACGGCTTCTATTGGTTATTATGGAGAACTATCCGAGGTACGAGTGTGGAAAAATGGGTGAGCTGCGGCCTGGAAAATATGGCATAAACTTGGCACGAGGTTTGCCTAGGACCTGGGTGAAATAAATTTTTGCTGTAGACTTGGGGGGTGCCTAGGTATTAGGAAAAAGCGCCTGATGTGGAGTGGAGACTCAAGTATCCAATAATATCCATTGAACACCCCAGTTGTTTAATGACCGCAAGCTTGCTTGTTGTTGACCCTAATCCTTCACCACTATAATATCGTACTACTTATCGACGATCTTACAGACTATGTGTCTATTCTCGTTTACAGCTAAATTCAAAATTGGCTTCCACATTTTACACAGAGAAACTCTCCCAAACCCTAACGCCAAGCCGATGGTGAAACCGCTTAAGCTCAATCCGGTTAGACTGCAAATCAATACTATACACCAGAATGGAAATGTAAAGTACATTACCAGAGCATTACACCGAAGTATTGAGCTATACGTCATTCGCAGCTCAGATGTCACCTGATAAGGAGGCTAAGCTCGTGATCTTTCATGTAACGCCAAGTGCCCCCGCATTCATTCGAAGGGCCCCCTACTTAGACCTCACCCTTTCGTTCACTTTGACCATGACATCCACAATATCGTTCGGTGACTCCAATCCTGGATTACAAGTGGGAATCAATCATGGCCTGATCACTGCTCATTTCCCACCTCCTATAGGTAAGTATGAAAGTCTTGAATTAGGGTAGATCGTATTGACCAAAATGTGGACCCTTTGGACAAGTTGCCAGTTGCACATGGGGTTGAGCTTGACTCATACGCGGACCAGCATGAAGAAGAATGCCTTCCGGGCACCAGAACCGAGCTTCTACACGAAATTGCTGAGTGGGCCGAGTCACCGCAAGGCAAATGCATTTTTTGGTTAAATGGGATGGCTGGGACAGGGAAATCAACAATCTCCCGCACAGTAGCAAGATACTTTAAGCAGCGCAAGCTCCTAGGCGCAAGCTTTTTTTTTCAGGAGCGGTGAAGGAGATCGGGGGAATGCTACAAGGCTTTTTCTGACAATTGCCAGGCAGTTGGTGCACCGATTTCCTGAGCTACTATTTGGTGTCCGAAAAGCAATCCATAACGACCCTGGCATCGTAACGAAATCGCTAAAAGAGCAGTTTGATAAACTGCTTCTTCAACCGCTGCTGGACCTCCAGCTATCTAACCAGCAATTTTCAACCACAGTAATAGTGGTTGACGCGTTGGACGAATGTGAACACGATAATGATATACGAGTGATACTCCAGTCGCTACCGCGGCTACAGGAATCCAACTTTTTGAAGATTCGGATCTTCTTAACCAGCAGGCCTGAGTTGCCTATCCGCCTAGGATTCTTGAATATTTTGGATCATGACTACCAGGATCTGGTTCTTCATGAGATACCCGAGGAAGTTACCGCGCGTGATATATTCTTATTTCTGAACTACCGACTTTCGAAGATTGGGAAAGAACGATCACTCCCTCTTGATTGGCCTGGAGGTCCAGATACTCTAGCCCTTATGAGATTGTCCACTCCATCATTCATTTTCGCCGCTACTATCTGCCGTGTCTTCGAGGATCCTCAGTGGGATCCTTTGGATAGTCTCACCGAAATCCTGAACAATCGGAATGAAAAATCTCAGCTTGATGGAACTTATCTCCCCGTGCTCAATCGACTACTTCAACAACAACGCGAGAAACAAAAAGAGCAGCTTATTCAAGAGTTCCGAGAAGTAGTTGGTACAATTGTAATACTTAAGTACCCACTCTCGATTGTTTCTCTCTCAAAACTCACTGGTCTCTCTGAGAGACGGATTGAATTAAGGCTGGACTCATTGCACTCGGTGATTCTTATTCCTGAGAATAAGACAATGGCAGTGCGGCCTTTCCATCTTTCATTTGGAGACTTCCTTCTTGATCCGGAAACACGCAAGAAAACTCCACTGTGGGTGGATGAGAGAGAAACACATCAAAGATTAACCACGCAATGCCTTTCTGTGTGTCAACTGTTGCGACGAAATATATGTGGACTGCTAAGTGATGGAACTCAGCGCGTGGATATTGATATCCAGACCATCAACCATTGTCTTCCCGCACAGCTACAATACTCCTGTCGCTTTTGGGCACAGCATTTGATACAAAGCAAAGATCCAAACTCAGCTTTACAAGATGCTTTTTTGTTTCTGCGGAAGCATTTCCTGCACTGGATGGAAGCAATGAGCATTCTCGGTGTTGCGTCTGAAGTGATAGGGGTTATTAATATGTTGCAGTCGGTCATAGATGTAAGTCTTTACAAAATCTTATAAGAACTCACGCTGACGGACATAGGGGGTCAAAAATCATGAACTATTTGGATTCTTGCATGATGCAAAGCAATTCTTCTTTAAGAATAGACAGATCGCTGATGACGCGCCCCTCCAGCTTTATTGTTCAGGACTTATATTTTCACCGGGATCGATGATAATCCGAAATTTGTTCAAAGATGAGCTCCCTAAATCGATAAGAACACTGCCAAACATCGCAGAATGTTGGGGCCCCGGAATGCAGGCTCTCGAGGACCGTATAGATCCGGTGCGGTCGGTGGCATTTTCACCCGACAGCGGACTACTGGTTTCCGGCTCCAGTGATAACACAGTGAAGCTCTGGAATCCTGCCACCGGTGCCCTGCAGCGGACCTTGGAGGGTCATTTCGGAATGGTATGGTCGGTGGCATTCTCGCACGATGGTCAGCTTATGGCGTCGGGCTCTAATGATACCACAGTGAAACTCTGGAATCCCGCGACTGGCACGTTGCAGCAAACTCTGGATGGCCATTCAGGCTCGGTGCTATCGGTGGCATTTTCGCATGATGGGCAGCTACTGGCGTCCAGCTCCAATGACACCACAGTAAATCTCTGGAATTCCGCGACTGGCACATTGCAGCAAACTCTGGATGGCCATTCAGGCTCGGTGCTATCGGTGGCATTTTCGCATGATGGGCAGCTACTGGCGTCCGGCTCCAGTGATAACACAGTGAATCTCTGGAATATTGCCACGGGTGCCCTGCAGCAGACTCTCAAAGGCCATTTTGGCTCGGTGCGTTCGGTGGCATTCTCGCATGACGGGTGGTTATTGGCGTCCAGCTCCAGTGATAACACAGTGAATCTCTGGAATATCGTCACGTGTGTCCTGCAGCAGACCCTCAAGGGCCATTCTGACCGACCGATCACCAACCTGGAATTTTCGGAACATGGTACATATCTGAATACCAATCTGGGATCTCTCAAAATTCAGTCCTGGTGTGGTAATGATACCCCTGATTTAGCTAGTCCCGATGCCAACATGCTTCTACTTAAGGGTGAGTGGGTGATGTTTCTTGGCCAAAAAGTACTCTGGCTTCCTCCAGAGTATCGGCCCCGCGTATCGGCAGTCAAAGACGGTATTCTTGCCTTGGGTCTCGCATCTGGACGAGTTTTATTCATAAGGTTTTGTGCATGATAAGCTGTGTCTAAACTTCACATTCCATCTAGACACGATCATTTTAGCTTCACTACATTTATTGTGCTTCGGGTTGGCATGACTATATTTGACTGTATAATTAAGAGTATCTACAACTCATTCCCACCAGTGATCATTTGATTGATATCCCTTCACTTTATATGTTTAATGTAGATGTAGTGTATTGATGTTTTGAAAGAACCGTACATCGTAATTTTGGCGTAATAATTTCTGCCCCCATACTATCCGCATCAGGCCTAGCTTGTCGTAGGACAGGGTTCCAAAACCAATCTCCTTGGGTAAAGCATGGAAGCCAATTTCGAATGTAGCTGTACCACTGATTGTCGTGAAGAGCATCGTTGATATTGATTGTGCTTTCGGTCAACTTCTAAATGACCGTTGCTTTTCATTAACATCATGTCTCTTCAAACAGTGTCTTTGCTTTGCCCGCCTTCACATTTGCCATCCAAAATTGATGACCCATATCAGATCCCGCTTTCGCAAGACCCTCACCTTCCTGAGATCATATTTTATAGCATAGTTCCTAGGAATGCTCTTGGTCGCTCCTAGGGATCAGACTCATAGTTCCTAGGGGACCTACAGCTCCCAGGAGTGTAGAATATTGCTTCGGGAACGAGCATTGGATTCCCCGGGCTTTGGAGTTTAGCAAGATCATTGCCGGTGGATCAGTGGGGTCACCCACACTTTTTCATCTGGGAGAACAAATCCCGGGATTACGAGGGCTACCAAGAATTAGCAAATGATTCCCAGAGTTGGGGTATTAGGAATCTAGGAACACAAATTCAATTACTAGGAGTGACTAGAGCTAGTTTTATGTGACGGATCGTGGGTGTTAGGGTTTAACCACTACGCCAGCTGGCCAAAAGGCACAATGTTTGGTCAGCGACCAAAAACCCAAACTACTGTACTATATATGCTCATTCTCTGACAGTTTAGTTCATGTCTTTCCAGGAACTTAAAGAAAAGGGGACTTACTGGAGAGTAGGGGCACACTGGAGAGTAGGGGCACACTGGAGAGTAGGGACACACTGGAGAGTAGGGACTTACTGGAGAGTAGGGACTTACTAGAGAGTAGGGACTTACTGGAGAGTAGGGACTTACTGGAGAGTAGGGACTTACTGGAGAGTAGGGACTTACTGGAGAGTAGGGACTTACTGGAGAGTAGGGACTTACTGGAGAGTAGGGACTTACTGGAGAGTAGGGACTTACTTGAAAGTAGGGACTTACTAGAGAGTAGGGACTTACTGGAGAGTAGGGACTTACCGGACGGTACTGAATTATCACTCCGGGCGTTGGTATGATTGGATTCTCTGGTACTCCTTTCTCCACCTTGGAGAACTAAGACCCCGGGGTGGGGCCATGAACGCGAGACTAAAATGTGTGTCGCGCTCTTCCCTTTAATCCTTTCCAGTGTATTCACATGCCCTTTTTAAGGAGACAATGAGAGTTTTCTTGATCACCGAATGGCAGCCCCGCTTTTTAAAGATGAAGTACTACTAGGGATGCTCAAAAGACGTGTTTCAACATTCTGAATCTTTCCAAAAAGGCTAGGTTTACACTATTCCAGCGAGTAAGAGAGGCAGAAACGGATGCAATGTATGATTGAGTTATCTGGTCTGGTATCCGTTGCTTCACTTCAGAGTACTTAGCTGCACAACCTGAGGCCAGCCAAATATTACCGTGCAGCGACACCTGATACTGTAATTGATTAGTGGCTAGCAAGAAATGTCTCGTCGTCTACGTGCTACCTCGATCTGATTGGTCCAGGACGCTGACTCAGTATGCTAGAGCAAGGCCACGAGATTCTGATTACTTTCGTGGTCTCCTTCTCCCACTGAAACGCTTAGCCCCGCTACTGCGTCATTCGCTAGCGGGAAAAAGGGGTATCCAGGGTAGAGGCTGAGATTGATATTGGTGTGAGAGGCTCGCCCGTATACTGTCTTATCAAACTGGAGGGTTCCAGAGCCCCCTTAGGGACATTTACCATAAAATCGAGGCTAGATGGGCTTTACGATGGATTCAACCAACAAGCTGGACATGGCGCTTCTTGCACTGTATTGGGTATTGGAAGGAGGGGGGTCCATAGATGTAGGAAAAGTGTTATCTGGCCTGCGTTGTCCCCAGGCCGACAAAGACACAAATCCACTACCTTAAGGCTAGTCATGTAATAGATCCGTGGATCTGCGTCCAGGCGGGCTGTAGGTCTGGAGATGTGGGCCCGTGGTTGGGAAGCTGTGGTGGGAAGACTTTGGCTTGAGGCCCTGTGAGATAGCACAGGTTATTCGAGGCCACAGATTGAAGGCTGTGGACGTGGATCCACTTTAGACGTACGTCCACGGCTCCTAATCTTGGTGGGCTTTATAACTGTCAACTAGCGGCTACCCTGACTATGTGACCACGAGGGTCCTCGGTCTTTTGACTACGGTCTATATGGGTCACAGGTATGCTGATCTAGATCTCAGGTGCATCATTTATCGCCTACTGACGGCGTTCAATCGGCCGATCATGATAAATACCGGCTTCAATTACTTGTGCGATCGAATTCATAACGCCTTCTATATAGTTTCCCAGCATGATGAGAAGAGATTTGCGGCAGAGGATCGAGTTGTAAAGGAGAAGGAAGTCCTACGCATGGCATCTCGATATTAGACCAGATAGGGGTTGAACGATCATGAGATAATCCTTTCAGATATTGAACAGACCTGTGTAGCTTGGAATAAGAGCGTACTGCTGATAAGATATATGACACCCTGGGAAAAATCTAATAGGAGTGATACTGGGATGAAGAACTGTTTTTGTGTTTATGTTAGAGCTATGAAGTGTATAATGGAAGTGGCAACATGAAAGAACGTTGACAAAAGATAAGTTTTAGGTAGCTCATTTCAAGAGTAAGGGTGGCTTGGAAGGCTGAAAATAAGATACGTCTTTCAAGAAGGCTTAGCTTACAGGAGAATCCTCTTGAGAGGAAATCAGTCACAGTAGGGCCTCCTGAAGAGCACAGGCGACACAGAAAGCGCCACGTCATATGAACTGGCTCTTCGTACCACTTCTCTTCTAGTACAATAATCCTAGGCCTTATTAAGTTTTGAGGATAGTCCGAAGGCGACTTGAACGCGGGCGTTAATGGTGAATAAAGACGTTTGTCTTCCTACGATTTCATCATTGCGGTCAGATCGGTCTTCTTCCACTTTGAATTGACAATGTATTTGTCTGACTTTCGGATTTTCTACAGACGCGCTCGAAATCATTTTCACCAATTTGTTCTCTTGATCGATTCTCGGCCTCTTTTTTCATAGAAGCTAGGCCCAATATAGCTAGTGGATATTGATTACCTTATTCTTATTCAGCAGTCGATGATGGGCTAGGCCAGATGGACATCGAAATGGGTCTCGCCAAGATTTAAGAAAGAATCAAAGAGATCAAAATGGTAAAACTGAAGTCGAGCGGACCTGTATGGATTTGAAGTCCGAAACAAACGGTAAGTCTATTTTGACGATCTTGCGAGCCAACTTCCCCATTTTTTTATGATATCTGCGCACCAGAATTCCGGAGCGTGGGATAACTATTTGATCGCAAAGGGCTGCAGTGTCAAAATCAGTACTACTCTATTTATGGACATTCGGCCCCATCACGTCTATAAATAGCGACATGATGGTTTCCATTTTTTACTAGGTTTTGATCACTGGACCGCCGAAATGTGTAATATTCCATGAATAACAATCAACAGTTGTTGCATCGTTTGATGTCTGAATCCACACCATGGTTCATTTTTGGTCGCATTTTCAACAAATTTTCTAGTTTAGTCTTAAAACCACCGTGGTTCTAGAACTGCTAGATTAAGAAGTCTGGGAACCACTTGTTTTGAAACCACCCGTAAATAGGAATTAAAGCCAGCGTGGTTTCAAAACCACTTCATTCGGTAGTTTTATAACCACTGTAGTTTTAAAACCATTAGCTTATATTTTAAGGAGCTATTAAGACACGCGGGAGAATATATTTCAAAGGCGGCCTGATACGTGAGTGTTCAACAGAGATGCCACCAAAACGCTCAGAGGGATATCCACACAATCAAAACTGCACTGAATCCGTCATTAAGGCACGCGCTTGGTCTCTTGGAACTTATAACTTATTTTCGCCGTTTCTTGATCTCATCATATTTGTTGATCCAATCCAAGGAGCAAATTCCTGTCTGACAGCGGGTGAAAAAATTTTGAACATATTATCTAAAAAAGACTAGCGCACCTGGTTAAAGCCTACATTTTGAACTTATCAGGGCGTTTGCGACTCTGTCTAGATTGAATGAAGGGGAATTTGTTTTTTTTTGTTCTTCTTTTTTGCCTTAAACGAACCGACCAACTTCATAGTGACATTTGTTCTGCCGACGGTGTTCAATATGGGTCAATTAGTTGGTGGGTCTGGTCGATGGTGTTGCAGACACGTAAAATGTATTGCGGGAAATATGTCAATAACGTTGAAAGTACGGTTGCTTTCAAGTTGCCGCACCTATTTGATGACCGCAAATGACACCGGTGATTGCCCCTCCAAATTTGTAGGACCCATCGTTATGAGGTCAACACGTAAAGTACAGTAACGGTTTTTGCACAACATTGTTGAAAATATCGTGGTCTTTTTTCCCCCTTTGTTTTGGCACCAGCATTTCATTGAGCCCTTTCTTTTCAGCGGCCTTAATATAAGAATCCCCGCTACCTAGGTTTTCTTTATAGGTTCCTACCACCCAAAGTACCCCCAGATATCAAGGCAACCACTCACAATGACCGCTATCAATTCCACCAGGCCAAAGGAAGTCACCTTGAAAAGAAAATTGATGCGGCAAAAACGATGCCGTCGGAAATCAAGTCTGATGAAAAAGGCATATGAATATAGTAAAATGTGCAATGCAGACGTATGCGTGGGAATTCGTATCCGAGAGACGGGCCAGATACATATCTTATCGGCGGATACCTCGGGATTTTGGGCTTTCCTTGGCTCGCAATTGGTATGTCTCCAGCTATGGCTCAGATGAAAGACGACTGACCTATCAAGAGCTCCTATTACCCAGCCCCAATACTAGTGACAGACAAGGATCTGCACCAGCTTGATAAAGGTACACCGTAGCAACCCAAACGAAGTCAGAAGACCAAAGTGAAGTTCTAACCGGAAGGGAAATCTTTGCAATTCGTGGTTTGCTCTCCCATCTTTGGTCGGAGATTGAATTCAATCATTATCTGGATACATGGAATGAGCTACTTCAAAGAATTTATTGCACGATGAGTTTGAGTTGTGCAGTTGTGATCTCCAGACGCAAGTATTTCTTCCGGTCCGATACAACCTTCGGATCAAGTCATTCGTAGGAGACACTACGATTTTGGCACACTTAGTTTTCCTACGAATAGACTGATCGTCGGATCAGGTCTATCGTGGGAAAAACCACGGTTTTGGTCGTCTGTAGTCTGGACGTTGACTTCTGCGCCTTTTGAGAGAAGAATTCTTTAATGCATCTCGTGGTCTGTTGTAAGAAGCGAAGCATCGGACGATTCCTGACCAAAGAAGCTAGTCGGCCAGTTCTAGCTGGTTTGTCCCGGTTTCTTGAACATCCTATCCGAGGTTCCTCGATACATACTGCCACCCTTCTTTCCTTTTTATCTCGGGTCTAGCGGCTACCGACCTGATCCAGTATGCATTCAGAACGTACCTGACGCTCGTTACTGGAGCATGATAACTTTGCAGTTTTTTTATTCTCTATCTGTTGATTTCCACTCTACCGAAATCCAGGCTATCTTAATGACCTCTTGGTGAATCCAGTGAAAGAAGAATGCACCCCTTTGTCTCCGGCGCATGTTGGAGACACGGTCAGTTTGACAATGAAAAGAGAAGGACTGTGGATAACCTCCCATGTCGAGCTTTTTTCCAGGAATGGTGGGACTTGTTATTTTTTGCCCCAAGCGCCAGAAATGGGTTAATCAGCTACCGAGTTGACGGACTTACTACTATTTAATCACACATGGAAACCGCACCGGTGTATTGCTGCCAACCCATCTCAGGTGATTCGCCACCGTTCTTTTCCCAAAATAACTTCCTCTTATCGCTAACACACCAACACCATCTATCTATTTCATTTGTTTTCGAACCACCGTGAACCAGTATTCTCCAGCCTTGGCTTCTTTTGCTGTCTGCTCTCACTATTCCTTGGTGTTATCTCGTTCTCACAGCATAAGCTGTAGTGAATTATCAGACACCTGTCCCAATACTTGTAGCGAGTCAGATCCCGAAGTGATTCGTCTTGCAGAAATAAGATCTTTGAGCGTTGACACAACTGCTTGTGTACTCCTATCGCCGGTCGTGATATCCTCGAAGTGGTTGGTTCGATCCTTGCTCGGTTCTTGAGATATTCGATCAAAAAAATTCAAAGATTCTTTGATATTGTCGGCCTCTTCTTGACTATCATTTTGCTCGCCTGTTTCATGGTCCTGTAGCAGCGATTCTCGGCGATGCAATAATCGGGCCTGTCCTCCTCGTTCATTTTGATGTTGCAGTAGCCTCAACCTAGAATTAATGATCTCTCTCTCCGCAGAAGTCAAGGCTTGCGAGAGGATTAACCACGGTATGTTGTTGTGTCCTATGGGTGATGATCCCATTTCGGAGATAGTTGGAACTCGAGTCATCTTTTCTAGCGAGGTGGACCTTGTCTGCTCTATATAAGCAGAAAATTGATCACAGATTTCGAGGCCTTGCTGTGTGCTTTCTCTTTCCTCTTCCATCATCTGAACATTGATGGATATCATTTCTCCAGAGGATAATGACGCCAATCTTTTCTCAATGGACTGTAGATGAAGACCAAGATCGCATTTGGTGTCTTCGATGATTTCGTTGTATTCATCAATGACGTTCTTCGTTGTTTTGGTTAAATTCCTGGAGGAGTCAACGAGTGCCGAATAAGAAAGCGCCCCCTCCCCCCCAGCCCTCACTATAGGATATCACAAGACTTACATATTTGCGTAGGCAAGTGCAATGGTAATTGTAGATTTATAGCCCGAAATCATAGTCTGAAAGCCAACGACGTCTTCACCCATGTACCGCAATTTTGCCCAATCACGGATACTGAATTTGTTGTCGCTTGAATGCTCAGAACAATGTATGATCAATGCGTTGAAATCATTGCATGCTTTACAACATCGACCCAGGGGTCTTTCAATGATTCCACTGTTGAGGAAGGGGGCTGTGCTTATTGATTCCCGGAGGATGTTTAGCACTTCATCAAGGTCCTGCAACGCTTCTCGGAGATCCCGGATAGACTTTTCTCGATTGCGAAGGCTTTGAACAGTGCTAAAGAGTGTTTTGCTCGACTGGAGTGCCAAGGAAACCAGGCCAGCAAGGCCTGAGGCGATACCAATAACTTCAGCCATATTGATTGAAATGAAAGGGAGCGGGGTTGGGGGTTGAGAGCTATGGCTAGGCAGTACCAAGCTTGGGCTATGGACATAAATAGAAAGAGCGAGGAGATACAGTTTTAATGCCTAGTTTTGGCAAAGGTCCGACCGCCCTAAAGTAGCTTTTTTGGGGACAAAACGAGAAGGCGCGTATTAATGGCTGGTTATTGGACCTACTGACTTGCAGATCACTCCATTCCCGCCCTGTGACCAAAATAGAAAAATGGTCTCTCCATGTGATGGCCCCGTGATGAGTCATCGAGACATTGCTACCCAAAGTCGAATCTTCACCTCAAGTAAATCACGAACCATGAGCAACGGGAACGAAAATTCTGACATGTCCTCAGAAGATCAGCTTACTCTTACGATAAGACGAGAACATGAGTGCCGCAATGTCTTTGAGGATGTCGTTGCAGAGGAGTATGTGTTCCAATTTGTTGGATCTACAAAGGCACATACAACGACCGCAAAATCAGTCACAGCGAAGGCATACGCTACCCAGTGTCTAGGAGATGCGTCCGAATCTACAATACAGCAAATTTCAAAGGACCGCAGCGGGATCACGGCGAAGACACAAATCACGGCGAAGACACAACCTCCATCGTACTAGCATTTTCGTCCAAATGAATCCCAGCCTTTGAACAGATATGCATGCACTGGCGAGTCGTCTCCCACTCTTCTTGTAACCTAAGAAGTTCTGCAATGTCTTCCTGAGAGGCCGTCTGTGTCTTTGTCTTTGTCACAATTCGGTCCATCACTATCTTAAGATGATTCTCCAGCTTTGCAGCGGTATTGATGAGGCTATTTTTGCATTCCTGTAAACCCTCGTTGGTAACTCTTTCGGGTACGTTGCTTGAACTGCCAGAGTCGGTGAGATTGTCACGGGACTTCCGTATTTTTTGAACATGATCAATGTGGCTTGACAATTGCGCACATATTTCGAGACATTTTTGAGTGCTCAGGCGTTCCTCCTCCATCAGCTGGATTTCCCCAGCATCCGTGATTGAGTCGCGTGTATTCTTGGCGATGATATTCTCGAGCTTTTCGTCAACGCTCTCTAAGTGATTTTCGAGATCATCGGATGTGGTTTCAATCATTTCCTTATAGCTTTCAAGGCTATCAGCTGCGATGGAGGACTGTCGGCTAGAAAGGCACATCGGTGTTATTTTGGATATCTTGAATGCACATAGGGTAACTCACATATTGACATCATTGAGGGCAATAATAATAGTTGATTTATAACCAGCTAACATCCGTCTGAAACCATCAATATCTTCGCCCATGTACTTTAATTTGGCCCAGTCTCGAAAGCTCTTTTTGCCGGCAAGAGATCGCGTCGAACATTTTTGAAGCTCCTTTTCAAAGTCTCTGCAGGAATTTCCACAACGAAGGAGGGGATATTCGAGGCTAGCGAAGTTTGCATCGGTGTTCGCATTCAAGGTCTCGGTTAGACCACCAAGAACTCCATTCAGAGTTTCGAGCTCCTCCGTCAGGTCGCGGACGCGTTTTGGATGAGATTGGTAGCTCTGAACCACATCAAAGAGCGCAGTGCTGGAATGAAATGCAAATGTAGCCAAAGCCACCAGGCCAGATGCTATGCCAATAGGCTCTGCCATTGAGCGTCGCTTGACGATGCGTAGGTATTGTAGTGCCGTGGACGAAAACTATGTTCTCAAAATGAAATACTGCGGGGTTAAGCCTTGAATTTATATCTTCAAGCATATAACGGGAGCAATTTTCACCCAATCGGGTCTGAATCATAAGCGCCCGTCTCTTGTGTGACGGAACGAGGTGAAAGGCTCGATACCGTCACAGTGGGTCCAGAAGCTAGCTAGCCAATCACCCAACGTCCAGATCCGTCCAATCTCGCGTCACTGGATTCATTCCGCGCTCACAACGACGCGTATGATTATGGTATTGACCTCTTTTCAAACATGATGAACGGGGAAGGAGATCTAAGCCATGGAGGAATTTTGAGGATACTAATGCCGCATCCCTTATTCCCATCTGCTTATGGCGTAAAATTAAGACTTTTGCCGTCGGCAGTTCAAAGAAAAGGGCGCCGTCCGCATAGCGGGCCTGGTTGACCGTACAGATTCGGGACTTCCGACCAAAGAAACAATGCTACGGCTTTCGCTCAGAGACCTCGCGACAGAAGAGCTTTTGGGTGGAAATATTGATCTCGACCGGGAGATCATCATTACCTCGAAACAGCTTTGTGATTATCTTTCGGGCGCCGAAGCAAGGCAGCAGGCGCACACGCAGCATCCGCACACGCAGCATCCGCACACGCAGCATCAAGGCTCAATCAATCGGATACGACCCGGCGCTTCAAAGCGCCGTCATCCTCAACCCCCCCGGAGCATATAAGCTCGGAAGGCGAAGGATCTTTCGAGGGTGAAAGACCACGCAAACGTGGGTGTCGAAGTAGCGACTATCATCCAAGCTCTTCCTCTGGAGACTCGGTAGATGAGCTCAATTGTACTTAGATGCTTGATGTCGCGCAAAATGAGCAGTTAACGATTAGACACTGCTGTTTATCTGCCTTGTCTTGTCAAGTTTGTTGAAGGGTGAGATATATCTTGTCATTTTTTATGAAGGTTTATTAAGTAGCTAAATGAGGGTCATCTATGGACGGTTGACACTTATGTCTTGTGCATTAATTTAATTAAGAAATATTGAACCGGTTTTGAACTCGAATGCGTCCTTCGTCTCTATGATCGACATCGCTTGGTCTGCAACAAGGTCATCTCCCAGAATCTCATGCAATGAGCGTCTGTCAGCAAGATATTTAACTGCATCTTGATCTGTTGGAAGGGTTTGAATCTCCTGGATGAGCAATAATATCTCCGGTGTTCCTGAGCGCAGCTCGGCAGCAGTCTGCCAGGGCAACACGTAACTTGAACAGCTCGGCAGTATAACCTGGTATTTCCGATCGCGGGATACATCAAAAACACTAGAAACCTACGACAGCACTTCGCTTGAGCACCTATTGGGCCTTTATTCGCTGTGTAATGGCAGTGATTTGCTTCAGATTGTCCTGCAGACTTCTCGCCGCCAACAATCTAGCTCTCAACCGTACCGTTGCCTTCCGGGCCTTCAGGGCCTGGGCTCTTAGGGGAATCGAGGAACGCTGCCAGGTAGTGCGCCAGGTATATCTACACTGGAGTGTTAGTTGATCCTTAGTTGGGTTGCGTTCCCCGCAAACGATTGGTGATTAGCATGTCCGTAACAATATCGTCCGGGCCTTTTACACATAAAATTTATATTAACAATAAGTTTCATAAATAGCGAACCAAAGTTCTTCAAGTGGTTATAGATTAGGAGTAGGAGCTATGATTGTATATCATTGAAAAGAAGGACTGAAAGAGTTGATCTGGCATCTTGTCAATGAGGAAGATTATAAATAAGAGCAGTTAACCATTGACAATTAGTTTTAATAGTAACTCTAATTTACAATATATACAAAGATAATACGAAAGTCATATCACAGGCCACTATTATTTTCAATTATGTACAAATAGCGGAGACCACCGTTCATCTCTCACTTCAATTAAGCCAAGATGATCTATAGATCGCCGATTAGAACAACCCATCCAAGGCCTTCCAGAAATTCTCTAGTCGACGAGGCTGGAGATCCGCTGCAGACCCTAACGATGATTTTATTCAGAGAACGAATGCCTCTGAGCTCCGCGTTGATTCTCAAGAGTGTGTCACGAGCAAAGTTCGTGTTGTCCTCTGCCTCTGTGATCAAACATCTGGCGCTTTTGCTGTAGATGAGGACTTCCAGTGTATTCAACTTAACGCACTGATTTTGGAGAAGCAGCAAATCCTGCATGCTATCTTCTCTGATATGTCCTGCTTGGCCAGGGATCCTTTCTGTGCCCGGAAAGGAGATGCGTAAGTGGGACAGAAAGCCTGCATTGATGGGTCCGATGCATTTTATAAAAGATCCCAAAAGGTTGCCTCGGTAATTTGCTAGTTCCACTTCCTCAAGGGTAAAATGATTCACATCGTACAAGACAGCTCTGGCCTCGTAGGATAATTGTCGGTTGGTATACAGTGATGCAAGCCATGCGTAAGGACTACATGGCAGGAAACATCTCACTGGGCCTCCAGGATCCTGGAAAAGATACAGAGGGTCAGGCACAGCGAGTACTTGTTTGAAAATATCACGGCGGATCTCGGTCGGCAGGGTGAGTAGGCCGGCAGGAGTCGAGGGTGGTGACTGTGGAGGCACTTGTCCCGATCCCGAAATTGACATTGCAAGTGCCACCGTCAAGAAACGTATTCGATAATCAAATTTCCGACTGGTAGTTGGCTGAAGTCAGGTGGGATCCTGACTGAGAAAGCCGTCAGTTTTTAACATCCAAAAATGTTTACTTTTTGTCGCTCACTGATCACGAACAATGCGCATGGGCCTGACACTTAAGTGCTAGCCGACTTTCGCTTATGGGCCTCTGGAAAGAGCAGAAGAAAAAGATTGCAGTACTACCAGGAATGCCACTGTATAAATTGCATGCGACTTGGCAGCTAAAATCAAAACTTGTTCTTGATGAAGTGAGGGGTAATTTTTGCCAAGACAAAAGCGGGGTCGGTGACTCAGCTCATAATTGTGATTCCCTTTCCATGGGACTCATTGCCAACGCCTAGTTCGATTGACAGAGAAACTTTGCTTCTTCGAAATTGTATGGACTCAAAACTCAATCACTACGACAATGTTTACGGAAACAGAAAAAGAAGGTCTCTGGCAAAGGACTCGCCGGCGCTACAATCAACTGAGAAACAAATCTCAACGTTCCTCAAGCTATACTCAAGATGGACAGTCACTTAGAAGAAAGTGTGTATTCAATCATGCATTTTAAATGCTGCTAATTTGGTGTTTAGTTTAGAACCAAATCTGAATTCGACGACTGATGGTTTGCTACTGAATGGAAGGGATGATATCGCCGAAGAGTCGACTGATACTGGGAACAATGAAGCCTCGGGCTCTCACACTCTTATGAGCCATGAACAACATGTGGCAGTCGACCAGTTGTCGATTAGCGCTAGCATAAGCAGCGTGCATCCGTCTTCGGACATTTGGAGTGCGGCATATCGAGAAGCAGTTGAGAGCCTTGGGGATGAAATAACTACTGCTTCAACTGGGAAGAATGCTGAGATGCTCTTCAAACTGCTCGAAGAGATTGAACAGGATGCTACTCACGAATCCGCTTTCTTGAGAGGTGTGCAGCGTTTGCGTTTCTTGAAAACACCCCTCGACAACTTCAAGCTAGCATTGGATTTGGCGAGTCCATTGGCAAACCTTGAACCAACCGCATCGTTGGTTTTTGGTGTTGTCAGAAGCGTGACAGCGGTAAGCCTAGCTCGTTAAAATAGAAATGCCAAGCTCAGTAGTGAACGTCACTTACACCCTCAAAACCTTTTACGCAGATCGCTATTACGTTTGCGAACGCTGATTTGGAATTTGCCAAACAAATCGCAGATATGTTGGAACGAATTTCTTACATTGACGAGTGTGATACATTGGGACGAAGAGTTGATCGAATTGATATTCACAAGGTAATCTACATGTTCCCTGTCTTCCACTTCTCCTGTCCCATAATCCAACGGCTCTAATCATATTCAGGCACTCGTCTCTGTGTACCAAAAAGTGCTAGAGTTCTACGACGCCGCCTTGAAAATATTGACTAGGAAAGGCGCAAAGTTGGTAATGAGAATGGTCTTGGAGAACGATCGCCTTCCTTCCATTGTCCAGGAATTCTTGACAAGCGCTGATAAACTTCAAATGGTCATACAAAAAGCGACCATGGAAATTTTGGGCGATATCCAAAAAGTGTTATATCGCGTCGATTGTGAGTGCACGTATCATCTATTTTAAGTATATTCTTTAACCGCCTCTAGTCGCTCGATGGCTCAAATCTGACAAGCTCACCTTGCAAAGTCAACTCTGCAATGAATGGCAGACACTCCGAGCTAACCAAGCCTGCGAATTCTTGCTGGAGAATCCTAAATTTAAAAGCTGGTATGAAGCTTCGGAGTCTCAGCAGCTGGTGATCTTTGGTGACATGGGCCATGGTAAATCCGTTGCAATGGCCTTCCTTGCAGAAACACTGAGTCATAGGAACAAATATCGTCTACCACGGCCCGTCCTATGCCAGTACTATTGTCGAGATCACGAAACAGGGAAGCCCACCTCTGTACTCTCTGCTTTGAGCTACTCTCTTCTATTTCAGCTGGAAGGTCTGCAGAAGCCATTTTATGAGCGTTACAAGCAAGCTCAAGAATTTGATTACGATCCGGCACTAAACACTGCCACGATGGAAAATTTCCTGCAAAGCATGCTGGAAACAATCGATCGGCCCGTCGTTTTTGTAATTGATGGCATGGATGAATGCGATTATGACTCTCGAAACAGACTTCTCAAATTTTTGAAGTGTGTATCAGAAACAACTTTGGCACTCAAGATCATTCTATCTTTTCGTCCCCAAGAAGAGATCATGGAACAGCTAGACGGTGTGCTCAAGATCGAGCTAGATTCTAGCCCCGGGAGAGATCGGATCATTGTTGAGAAAACACTTGAAATGCTGCCAAACTTATCTCCAGACGTCAAGGC